CGGAGGAAAGTCCCTTCTTCCCATGAGCAGCGCCTGCTCCCGGCGCGGGGCGCTCGCCATGGACACTGTGAAAACCACCTACATCGTGCTGGAGCTCATCATCGCCGTGCTCTCCATCGCGGGCAACGTGCTGGTCTGCTGGGCCGTGGCCATCAACAGCACCTTGAAGAACGCCACCAACTATTTCCTGGTGTCGCTGGCCGTGGCCGATATCGCCGTGGGGTTGTTGGCCATCCCCTTCGCCATCATCATCAGCATCGGCTTCCAGGTGGATTTTCACAGCTGCCTCTTCTTCGCCTGCTTCGTGCTGGTGCTGACCCAGAGCTCCATTTTCAGCCTGCTGGCGGTGGCCATCGACAGGTACCTGGCTATCAAGATCCCCCTGAGGTAAGAGCTGGAGTGGGAGCGGGCAGCGGCATTCCCCGACAGCCCGGGGCTGATATTCCTGCTCTTAGCGCTTCTAATCCCTGGTGCTGCCCCGAAAGTTTCACTGCTGGCAGGTGGTGGAAATAGCAGAGGTTTGTCTCTCGCTCGCTGCAGGAATGGGATCAGTGTCCCACTTTTGCTTCGGAACACACCTGGAGGTTCAGTTTCTTGAGGATGTTTGCCTTGGGAGGGTCAGAGGTTTCCGGGCGGGCCCGCAGCGGTGTAAGGCTGTGTTTGGGATGGTTGTGGCTCATCTGCGCAGGTATTTATTTATACAGGCCCTTTATTGCGGTGTCCAGGCATCTCTCAGGTGATTAAACAGAGGAGCAGTCACTCTTTCTCCTATTTCCTACTGTGAAAGGAAAAAAGGGGTGCAGAAAGGTTCACAGGGCAGATTTTAAGTTTTACAGTTCAGTCTCATCCAAGACATGAATTGTTTTCCTTCTAATTCATGGGAATTGAATTAAAATGGGGGGAAATGTATGGAATAGAAGTTACAGGCGCCTCTCCAGTGGGCTGGTGCAGCAGCTTCCTTAAGCTGAAGCGCACCAAACCCCGGCTTTGCATTGTGTTTGTTCATCTCGGTCTCCTCCGTGTCTCGGTTGTCCTTCCCTGGGAACTGGACATGGATGGAGCCCCCGGGAGTGCAGGACAGCTCCAGGGGCTGTGGGGAAGGAGGGCAGATGTGGAGCAGGGACCTCAGCTGAACCCCGCAAAGCCGCAGCTTCCCCGGACTCCGCTCGTCCCCGTGCACGGCAATGAAGTCACCCTGAAACGGCTTCAAAAGAGAGAAAACCCTTTCACCCTGTTCTGGCACCCTGCATCTGACACCTCGCAGAGTTGAGCAAATATGAATTAGTCATCGGGCCGAGGAGGAGAAGCACAGCCGTGTGTCTGTGTGTCCGTGTGTCATGCGAGCGCGGCACACGGAAATCCCGGGGGATGTCGCGCAAGCGGGAGCGGACCTGCAGCACACAGGGACGGGGACAGGTGGTTTCCAGCATCCCTGACCCTGTTTCTGACCCTCACAGAGCCACCCCGGCCCCGGAAAACGCTGCCGTGTCTTTTCCATCGCTCGCTCGGGGTTTCCCCGGGCTGCTGGGGCAGCGGCAGCTACAGAAGCAGGTCAGATTTTTGAGTTTCAGTTTAATCACACCCCTGGGCACAAGCTGTCAGGCAATAACTCTGTTTTTGTTCCACAAGCACTTTCTGCAGCTGAGGAAATGTGGTGAGGGGTCTGTGCTCTGCTGGAGCCGGGGGGAGGCAGAGGATCAGAAATGCCCTGAGGGATCGTTCCTGTGCTCGCAGAGGGAAGCGCCTTTGCCAGCTGGTGAAACTGCCAATATTTCCTGCGCTCCTTTTCTCCCGGTCCTGCTCTCGAGCAGGTTTGCTCCACTCTCCATCAGGGCAGTTCACCCCAGGGCAGTTTTGCCTTGCTTCGGGATTCTTTCCCAGCTTTGCTTTCCTCACCCCATCTGCCGCCAAATCTTTTTTTCCTTTTGCACAAAATCTTTATTCCTATGAGTCCTTTCAGGCTGGACACAAGTGGAGACCAAGGAGTCCCATCCTGGGCTGGCTAAAGTGTGAAATTTGGATTTAACTCCATCTTGGCTTTGAGGCCTCTTTCAGTGCTCTCAGGAGGGACCAGCAAGCAAAAAACTCCTTCCAAAGGAGGGAGGCTCTCCCTGTGAGGAGCAGGACAATGGACAGGAGATTTAGGGACTGATACTGAAAGGCTTTTTTTAGTTGTGCACCAAGATCAAAAGGGGACAGAGGAGGTTATAAACCTCCACAGGCAAAACCCTTCTGGACTGCAGCAGGGCTTTCCCAGCAAGGCTTGGTTGGAGTTTTCTCTTCAGCATCGTTATTCCACAGTGCTGCTGGCAGGGAGGGGGGAGGAAGCTCTCCCACCACCCTCTCTGGGCAGGAGCATGTGCCATTTCTGGGCTGTGCTGTGGGAAGGGGAAGCTGATCATCAGTTTCTAGGAATGGAGACTGTAGGAAAAGCTTTTCTCATTTAAACACCAGTTCTGGAGGCCAGTGCAGAGGCTGAGACCAGGCCATGAAGTATTAAATGTTTAAGAAAATGATTTGTGCCCAGCCCTGCCCAGCGATTACCATAAATAATGTGGTTGTTGCAGAGCAGATGAGTGTCCTTGTCATATCCAGTGCTCCATCAGCTCCCTGTGGGAAGCTCAGCAGGGACATTAAGGACTGGCTGTGCCACATTATTTAATACCCTTTCAGAGCTGCATGAGAGGCTGGGCAGGCCTGTGGGCTGGGGTGCACAGCAGAACTTTGCATTACAGCCAGGCTAATAATGGATTTTTCAGCTCTGTGGCTGAACCAAGAAATCCCATGGGGAAGAGGAAAATTGTTTCAGTGAAACTGGAACAGGGATGTTGGGAGGTTTCAGTGAAGCAAAGCGATCCTGACCAACCTGGCAGATTTTGGGCTCAGTTGCCCAACCCTTCCGATGTGGCTGTGCTGCTTTTTGAGGTCAGGACCTCCTCACTGGGGAAGGAACTGACAACTTCTCATCTGGAGAACTACAGAACAAACAAATCTTATTTTAAAAATGGTGGTTTGGAGCCCTCCCTCTTCTGGCTAAAAATATTTGCTGAATTTGACCCAAAGCCATGAATTCTTTGTGTCCCTCGAAACTCATATTTCGCTTGTTTGCTTTTGATGAATTTTCTGTTTGTGGAGAAGCCCCCACCCACATTGCCCATTCTGTGCAGCTGCAGCTCCCAGCCCTTCCCTTGGCCATCCCAGGATGCAGCTCCTTGTCCTTGTCCCCTTTTCCTGCCCCCTCCTGGCTGCTGCCAGCCCTGAGTGCCCATCCCTGTGCCCAGCTCATCCCAGCCAGGGAATCCAGCATCTCTCAGCAGCAGCAAATCCATCCTGCACACAGCACTTGGCACAGAGGCTTTTTTTGCTCTCTGGCTTCCTCCAGGGCTGGATTTCACCCCACAGTCCCGTAGCTGGGAGCCAAAGAAGATTTGTAGGTGGAATAAACCAGTTTCCTTTTATTTGCATTAACCCAAATCCTTTGGCATGGAGAAGAATTGTAGGTAGGGACGGATGCCTGGAACAAACGTGTCAGGAATTAGGGAGGGAGAAGAGAATCTGTATTTAGAGAGCCAAAGGAGAGTGAAGCCCTGAGCAGCAGCCCAGTGTGTGCCCCTGTGCACGGGTACCTCCTGCAGGACAGTGACTGTGCTGCTGCCTGGCAAACCCCAGCTGGGACCTGCCCTGGGAAAATCATCCCCAGTTCCTTGGGATTTGAGCTGATCTGCTCCTTGTCCTGGGTTTGGTTCTCTCCCATCTTCAGCTTCACCCCCTGCAGATGTGCAGGGCTGATGTTCCAGGGAAGCTTTGCTATGAACTGGAATCCCAGCCACATCCTCTCCCTTTCTGCACATCTTTGAGCCCTTGCTGCCCCTCCTGCAGCCAGACAATGCTCCTGTGGATTCCCAGTCAGTTAATGGGATCAGGATCTGTTAATGGTGCTGCCCTGACCTGCCTCTGCTCTGCCAGTGTCCCACAGGAGCTGCTGCTCCCTTGGCTCTGACATAGGAAGGCAGGAGTGCAGCTCCTTCCTTGTGGGACAGATTCAATTTGGGTTCTGCTGTTTTTCCCTCATCCTTTCCAGAGGTGGCCTGGCTGATGCTGAGGCTCTGTGCTGCAGAGGAGAGGCTCACTCTGAAGTGTTCCTCTGCAGGGATCTGTTCCCAGATCCCTGTCAGATCCCAGCTTTGCTCAGCAAAGCAAACTGCTGGGGTTTGATGTCAGGTGGGACTGGAGCCACTGGGGAGCAGACAAAATCCTCCTGGTGTTCACCTGGCACCCTGTGAGTGCCACCAGCACACAGAGCTGCTCTTCCTCCCCATGCCCTGTGCCCTTGCCTCATTTCCCTCTGTCCTTGCACTGCCCTTCACCTGAACCCTGGGCAGTTCTGCTGCTCCCCTGTGGCTCCTGTGCTGTGCCCACTCCTGAGCATCCCAATTCCGCTGCCAGAGCTGCTGTGCCTGGCCTTGGTTATCCCTGAGTTACAAACTGCAGTGCCACAAACCCAGCAGGGGCAGGAGGGCTGGGGTCCCTTGAGCAACCTTGAGGGAACTTTGTGGCTGCCAAGATGGGCCCAGGGGGTTGTGAGGCTGCTCCAGCCTCTGGGTGCAGCCAAAACACAACAACAAGATCAGGAATAATCACACGTGCCCTCATGGCAATAAAGTAGAGAGGGGAAATCACAGCTATTTTGAGCTGTGAGCAGCTTGGTTTCCTTAAAATGCACATCCCAGATTTTTATATCTTTTCCGCACCTCCGAGGCCACTTCCCAAAAAAACAAAAGTCCTGACAGGAAAAGGAATTGGGGCCTCTTTGGGACCTCTGCCCCCTCTGCAGCAGCTGGGGGACAGCAGGGATGCCAGGGAGCATCAGGGGTGTCAGGGCTGGCTCCAGGCTCTTGGCTGAGGGCACTGATCTCCCGTGGGTTGAGTCAGAACCCAGATTTTTGAATTTAGAAGGTTTTTATTCTGTTTTGGCCAGCTCAATCTGTTAAAAAATACAGGTTAATTTCAAGATTTTTTTTTAAAAGGAACTTTTGAAATCCAGCAGAATTTTGCTCCAGAAGATCTTTTGACCTCTCCCTACAAAAAGTACACAAAACCAAAATGTTTTGGCAGAAACTGTTTTATCTTGAAGTTGCAAGTTTTTGCTTTGTTAATTATCAAGCTGCTGCTTGGGATTTTTATGAAATTTGCTGTTTGCCAGAGCAATGAGAGTCTGCCCTGGCCCTGGGCTGCCCCAGGCAGTGACCACGCGGGGCTTGGGGACTCCTCTTACTGTATTTGATCCACAAGATGCCAGGAATTGGTGACTCCAACTGTGCCTACAGATGTGTCAGTCCTCAGGCTCTCAGGCTTGCAAAAGGGACCGAATTTAGGGAATTTGTGCA